ATGAAATATTCTCCGAATTCTTCATTGATACGACATGCTGTTTTTTCCATTCATTCCCTTTCAGGATCAGTCGTGGTCTTCCAAACTTTACCAATGGTATGGACGAATCCCTCGCTTCATCCAAATGTGTAAAAGATTCTAGCCGCACTTAAAAGCCGAGTACTCTACCGTTGAGTTAGCAACCCGAAAAGGGTGTGTAGATACAATCAGAATCAAAAAAAATAAATAAAGAGATTATACGAGGCAGTGGCAATCAAAGCATTCAACTAGCAAAACAAGAAATCTAAAAAAAAATTCTAATTTTAATTTTAAAAGACTTCTTGTATCAAAGCGAATCCAACGAACCCATCATTTGAGTGAAGTAAAGTAAAAAAACAAACCTATGGAACGGAGATAAATAGATCCACTTATCACGATGAATTATATTTGTTCGATACACTGTTGTCAATATGAATGTTGAGAAAAGAATACAGTGGAAAAATAAACAAACTTCAAATGAAATTTGAATAATATTAAAATAAAAAAGAAGTATTTGTGTTGGATTGGCACTCCATAGATAACCTACATCGATACAAACAAAAAAGTGTAGATGTAAGAATAAATAAGGAAAAAATAGAAAAAAATATTAGGTTTATTCAATCAATAATGTATTTAATCAATATTAAGTGAAATAGGCAAACTTTATTCCTTGTTTGTTAGTGGAGTTCCAACGAAAACCAACCAATTGAGGGGAATGCTAGAATTTTATATTTCCAGGATCCATAAAATAAGGTTTTGCCGTTATAGAACATGGGATTCTATGGGAGCAATGATAAAGATAAATTAGGTATGAACAGAACAAGAGAAAGGGGAAATAAAAAAATAGTAGAGAAAATTATACAAAACTATATACAAGTCACCACTCCCTCCCTTATTTTTTTTTTATTCCTTAATGAATTGAATTTTTTTTAATTAGAACGAAGTTCCTTAAAAACCTCCGCCTTCTTTAAAATATCATGAACAGTTCCTGTAGGTTGAGCGCCTTTTTCAAGGAAGTATAGAATAGCAGGAACATTTAAATAAGGTTGATTCTTTATCGGATCATAAAAACCCACTTTCCGAAGATCTCTTCCCTCTCTTCGGGATCGAACATCAATTGCAACGATTCGATAGACGGCTCATTGGGATAGATGTAGATGAACAATACCCCCCCTAGAAACGTATAGGAAGTTTTCTCCTCGTACGGCTCAAGAAAAAATGATTCGAAGTGATTTCGATGTATCGAATTATAATATAGAATTCTAATGGCAAATGGATCCATAAAATCATCAAATCAATTAGGCTATGATTTAAGCCCTTTTTTCTTCTTCTCTTCCTTACTGAAAAAGAAAAAAATCATTTGTACTCATAACTCAAGTTGGATAACTCCCCAATAGCTCAAAGAAAAATCTTTAGGCATTTATTTCATTTATTGAGTGGTCTCTAACCCCCTTTTTTGTTTGTCTCATTTAAAAACAATTTTAATTCTTCATTCTGATCCAGTTATTGAGACAACTCAAACGGCGTTTCTTTGTTCTGGGGATCCTTTATCTTTGTTTTGAATCATTAGGTTTAGACATTACTTCGGCGATCCTTAATCCTTTCAAAACGGCAGCAACATACCCTTTTTGTGATTTCTTTCTATCAAAGAATCATATGAACGGTGGATTCCCGCGCGATACACCTTGGATCGAAAGAGTTTTATCAATTCCAACAATTTTCTTTTTCCTTTTTGGGCGGAAACTTGCTCGAATTGGATTCTTTCGATTTCTATTTCTATATCGAAGATATACTTACGAAGTTGTTCCAATTTATTGATTAGCATTAACCCTAGATCCCTGCCCCCGAGAAATGAATCAATACTTTCTGCTCGAGCTCCACCATGTACTATTTACATTACAACCCAACAAAAAGGAGGGGTTCTAGTGGAACAGAACAAATGATGTCGAGCCAGGAGCACCTTCATTCCTATATAAAATGATGGATGTAAGAATCCACAACGGATCGTGTCTTTCAAGTCGCACGTTGCTTTCTACCACATCGTTTCAAACGAAGTTTTACCATAACATTCCTCTAAATTGGAACCGGTATGGAAATGATTCAATATTCAATTATGGAATCATGAATAGTCATTGGTTCAGTCGGTCCATAGTAATCTAGATTTTTCTCTTCTATATAGATGGGTAGATATTTTTCTGAAGGAATCTCAACAAAAATGCAACTTAACTCCATATTTGATTGTATGAATACAACATTTTTTTATAAAAAAAAAACATAAATAAGACGAAAAAATAAGTTTTTTTTAATTTGCATCTTCAAGTGACTCAATAGGATAGATTTATCAATCTTACGCTTCTTCAAGTACCAAAGATTCAACTCCTCCGGAATCATTAAAAATGGTTTAAAAATAGTTATAATTGAAAAAGTTTCCCACTTTGACACATTATTTGAATCCAATTTTACAGTAAGGGCTGCATTTGAT